TAATTACTAAATAGTTCATTGTGCGTCAATAATATCATTTCAGTTATTATCTTAAGCGAAATTAGAAAAACGATGCTCACCGATGGGAAATGCTTGGATGCCACTACAACCAGTACTGGTCTACCATTGATGTCAAGGAAGTCATGCACATAGGCTTTTCCTGTTCTGTACATGTTCTTCACAGACTCTTCAGATAATTCAGCGACACCAAATTCTTTGCGCCATTGCTGAAATGGTTGTAAAGGAAAGCCGGAGGGTAATGACATTTTTTAAGAAAATACAAATAATTTCATTTTCAAAAAATAGTAAGGCATCTTGTCCATGTACATATAAACACAAACAATACAATTTAATGAAGGTTCAGCTGTACTTCTTATTCTCTTTTTGAAGTACATATTTCAGTGTTTGAATACTAATGTCTCATGTATACACTGACATATTGCAACTTCTAAGTTCTAACTTATAAGTTATAATACAGAGAACAGATAATAAATAAAAAAAGATGTAATTATTAACTTCATTATAATTCATGTGCAAATTAACGTGTTAAGTGATATGTGGGCAATATAATAAGCAAAACCGAGTACATAACTAAAATTGAACAAATAACACTATGAAAGATGTTTAACTTCAGATGATGACAGCTGTTGCTTAAACTGATGGTGGACATGGCAGAGAAGAACTGAAATGGTAGATACTACAAAGGAAAGAATATTCTTTATTGTCATTCCCTTTGGGTCACATACTGGAGTCCTTTATCTAAGGAATATTTAATTACAGAATTGATCATCTATTTTAGAAGATTTTGTATATTTTCTATTGAAACATCTCCAAAAAGATGCCAGTAATAAGTAAAGCATCATCCTGCCAGGGTACAAATCCTATTCAGTGATAAGCCTATTATGCACATGCATGTAAAAGCCAAGAAAAATGATGCTACTCCTTATGTACCCTAGGTTATCGGGATTATTTATCAAATTGTCCTGACTTCCTAACTACTCTAGCTGCAGCTTCTTATATCACGCATAAGACCAAAGGACAGAAGAAAGTCGAGAATTCACACTGATCTGTAACCAAAAAACCATGAACTGATATCCTTTTTCTTGATTGAACACTAATAGAATAATCTTTTTAAGACAGCAAATAATTAAGATAATATTGGGTCTCCATAAAATATGTACCATAACTGTGCAAAATAAGTTCTATCTTCCCCAAAAAATGCACTGTTAGGATACAATAGCTTTGAGTAATTTTGCAGTAGCATCTTCTACAGAGAACTTTCTATCTTTCAAAAACCAAAGGATCATGTCTTCATCATCTCTTCCGTTCCTGCCCATTGGTAGGTATGGATGCTCCAACTCCAGCTTTTGCTTGACTTCCACCACAAGCTGCAGATTCAAACGTGAAGATTATAATAGATCTTGCATCCGCAGAATATTATGTAATAAATGCTTAAAAAGTGCTTGGGTTGCTAGCCAGTATAGCAAACTACTTATAAAAGCACAAAATACATGTAGAAACACACTTGCAGGTGACAGGAAGGTATCATCATTGAGTAAAAGAATGTACCATGGATTGACGTAGATAATTCAGAAACGATTATATAACAGATTCAGAAAACCTACAACTCTGCATCAACTCTTGTATGTACATGCATGCATATGTAAATATGCATCTAAGTATATGTGTGTATCTATGCACATACAAATGCACATATGTGTGTGTAAATCATGCACGTATGCATACACATGCATATTAATATATGTATCTATGTATATGTAATGTATGCTACCGTGTGTATAGGCATATCAAGGTATTTAATATACAGGTGTCATCGACAGAGACAAGAATATTGAAAAGTTGACTCGTAAAGAAAGCATGCCACATAAACGCAAGAAAGGGGCACGTCGATTCAAAAGCATATACCCTGAAATACCTTCAGATTGCTTCAATGCTGCCTCACACAAATGTATCACAGGTTCAGTTCATTGCCACAATTAACTAATCATGATGATAACGAATGCTTCCTCCAGTGTTCTTTCATTATCTGTGCTTCCTCCATTTTTGTTTCATCGTCTGCACGCTTCACTATTTTTAAAAAGGTTTACCTCTAAAAGGAAGAGATCCATGAACAAGTAGCCTCTTTGACAAGGCCGGTGAAGATAGTCTTCTTTTTTTGGACAAATCAAGCAAGCAAGCTTTTTTTTTGTTTGCTTGAATCAGAAGCCTTAATTGAATGATCCAAACAAGTAAAGAACGAAATACAAGCTACTCCAGCTTTTTTGGTGCATAGTAGTGATCCTTATGCTATATCAAATAATAAATATTTCGCATCAGGAACATAACCAGCAAGCATCATTTCTTTCAAGATACTATCCAATAAAAGGCAAATCTCAAAGATCTGAGGATGTGAACTTCTCCCAACAATGAACTCATGAAATATGCCATCCAGTTCAATGGAACTACAACCAGGGGCCTTTGACACCCCTCTATCCTTCATAAACGTCCACATGTTTCCCGCACTTTCTCTTTGACCTTTATAACCATATATATTGGCCAAAATCACATAAGAGCTACTATCATGTGGCGCTAACTCAATAAGTTGCCTTGCAGCATACTCGGCTATTTCAAGGTTTTCATGGTTTCTAGAAGCACCAAGAAGGGCCCTCCAGACGAAATCATTTGCATGCATTGGCATGTTTCTTACCAATGCAACCGCAGCCTCTAGATGTCCTGCACGGCCTAGAAGGTCAACCATACAGCCATAGTGCTGAATCTTGGGAGTTATTCCGTACTTGGTGCTCATAAGTTCAAAGTAGTGATGCCCCTCGCGTAATAAGCCGGCGTGACTGCAGGCATTCAAAATACCTATAAATGTTATATCATCGGGTCTTACCAATGATTCCTCCATATTTCGAAATAACGAAATAGCAAGACTTCCATAGCCATGTCCTCCCAGTCCTGATATCATTGCATTCCAGTGGTCTTTGCTCTTTTCAGGAATAAGATCAAATATTTTCATTGCAACATCGAGATGACCGCATTTTGCATACATGTCTATTAGTGCAACACCAATTATGCTATTTAAGGGAAAGTTATTTCTATCAATATATTCATGGACCCATATGCCTTGTTGGAAATGACCTAATTCAGCAATGGCAGAAAGAATAATAGCTAAAGTAGAAGAACCAGGAGTTTCTCCTTGCAAATACATATCAGTAAACAGTTCGATTGCCTCCTTTAACTGTCCATTTTCTTTATAACTGGCAATAATTGCATTCCAAGAGACAACATCCCGACAAGGCATCTTATCAAACAATTTTCTTGCTTCTTTCATCCTGCCAAGTCTACCGTGACCAGCAATTATAATGTTCCAAGAGAAGACATCCTTGATGGGCATAGAATCAAATAGCTGATAAGCAAATTCTATCTCTCCATTTTTTGCATAGGCATCAAGCATAACATTCCATGAAGTCAAATTCCTACAAGGCATCAACTCAAATAACTTCCTTGCAGCCAGAATATTGTTACACTTAACATATCCATTAACCAAACTGTTCCAAGTGACCAGATTCTTATATGGGACTTTTTCAAACAAATTATGAGCAATTTCAATCTGATCACACTTTGCATATCCATCAATCATGATGCCCCAAGTTACCATATCCTTGAAAGGTGCTAAATCAAACAACTCTTTTGCAGCTTTCATATTTCCACATTTAGCATAGCCATCAATCATAGTATTCCATGAAACAATATCTCGCTCAGACATTTTATCAAACAACATTCTTGCACTATCTACTCGTCCACATTTTGCATACCCCTCGATCATCGTATTCCAAGAGAATAGATCACGTTCTGGCATCTGCTCAAATAACTCAAATGCGGCATTGATGTTCCCATGTTTTATATAACCATCAATCAAAGTGTTCCAACTAATCAAATTCTTATGTGGTGCCTCATCAAATAACAAGCGTGCAACCTCAATCTTGCCACACTTGGCATACATAAATATAAGTGAGCCTTGTACAAACAAGTCCAAGTTCAGTGGACTTTTTAAAATCCGACAATGAATTTGCTTTCCTTCTTGAATTAAACGGGCAACTGCACAAGCTTTAAGAATGAAAGGGAATGTAAACTTGTCAGGATATACGTGACTTCTTAACATACATCTATACAAGTTTATCGACTTCCAAGGGTAGTGACTTTGTTCATATGCCCTAATAGCATTATTCCATGCAAAAGGTTTAGGATCATCGACCTGCTTCAATAACAAATCAACATACTCCGCACCTCCTACTCTACAACAGTATGTTACAAACTTGCCTATTAACAAAGGATCCTTTGAAAGTCCAACAACAACCATAGATGCAAGCATATGCTTAAAATCTTTTGCAGTCCGACATTTTTCTAAAAGAGGAGTAAATGTTGAAGTGGCCATAGGCATGTAATTTCACAAACGAATCGCCTTTCTTCTTTCCTTATTAACTCAGCCTGATATCTGATTTCGTTCTTCAAAAATCAAAATACTCCAAAGCCATCCTATAATTAGAATAATACGAATGACAATGAGCATGTGAGCTAGCAACATTCCCAAGAACAAGGGTTACTTGCAATCTAATACCCTCAAAGTGTCGCCCTTTTTAACCTTGAAATCCTGTAAGTTATATTCTGACAGTTTGATACCCTAAGGTGGCAGAGTTGACGTTAATTCTGTTCAAGAACATCAATATAGAAATGCGAATGAGAAACAATTTACTTGCCAAATTTCAGACTTTTGAGTTTTGGGGAGTGAGGAACAAAGTCAGGGCTCTGCGGTATCAAATTGTGAAATTAACGTCAAATTGAAAACTACGGGCCATCAAATTATCAAAATAGAAATTCAGGGTATCTAAGTTTAAAACAAAAAAGATGAAACTTTGGGGGTGTAAAAGTGCAAATAACCCCTAGAATAAGCAACTTCAGCCCTAAATCAATAGCTCAATTAACTCTTGAAACCCTAGAATAACTTTAGCCCTAGGGAAAAATAACCGCATCAAGATTCCTAGAGGCTAGAATCAGTTCATACAATGAAGTATTATAAGTAAATAATCAGCAGAATTTGCGTTTTAGATGAGAAAATTATAGAGGAAAATTAGGTGAAAAATAAAAAATAAATCAATGGAATGAGAGAGTAATAAACCTTGCGGGTGTCGACGGTCTGGTTATCCGCGGAGCATTTTAAGGTACGGAGTGCCAGCTTCGGGCTGCCGCGGGGGAGGGTGGAGGGGAGGCGAAGAGGGTGACAGAACCGCAGAGCCATTTTCCCCCTTTATTTTTTCAACAACACAAAAGAAAAATTAATTATCTACTCTCGTATACGGACATACTTATGTGGAGGAATCAAAATGAAAAAACTTGGATTGCGAGGATAAAGATTTGGATAAAATGAATATTTTTCACATAAGTTCAGGACGCAAACTCTCGACCAGGCAAGATTTTATTATTATTTTTTATAGATTCGTGTTTTTTCCTTCTTTTGCTTGCCTATTAAATGAGGAATTAAAAATAATTTAAAATGAATATTATTCTTCTGTTTTTTTTTCACAATTTATATACGAGCACTTTTACACAATGTGAGTAGATATTTCTCAAGATATATAAATAATCTTTAGAAGATTTATAATCGAAATCGAGAAGAAAAAGAGGTTGCTCATAATTTAGTTAGGTTAGCAGTGTTTGTGATGTGTGATCCATCTGAGGGGATACTTTTCTTCTGCATAGTGACTCTTTATTCATTGTATTGTTTCCTAGCTTAATAAAATTTATGTTGCAAAAATAAAAATTAAATAGATAGTGAAAAGAATTAGCGTGCACCTATCATTTATTAAACTGAAAATAACCATTTATATAATTTTAAGGTTTGTTTTCTTAGAAACCACCTTAAAAGCAGGGTCATTTTTATAGAACCCACCTACAATTTTCAACTTATAGGTAAACAACCTCTAAAGTGAGTTTTTATTCCCACCAACCACCTCTAAGTAAAAAAATTTCACCGAAAATCAAAAAATACCCTTAAAAATTCACATTACGCATGATTTCCTTTGTTAATATTTTGGCCAAGTTAGAATACAAGTCACACACCTTAAACTTGCATTTTCTAATGTTACTTATTTTTGTGAAGATTTGGCTAAAAGATGGTTGATCGGAACAAAAACCACTTTAAAAGATTAAAAAAATATGATTTCTGTAAAATGATCCTATTTTTAAGGTGGTTTCAATGATTAAAAATGTTAATTTAAAAAAAATATATGTTGTAATTGGGATGCAAACCTAGATGGGGGTGAATACGATTGCTATAATTTTTCGACTAACTCAGAGTAAGCAGCGGAAATATAATAAGCAAAAAAATTAAAAGCAAACCAACACAAGAATACACTATATTTTTATAGTGGTTCGGATCAAAATCCTACATCTATTCTTCCTTCTCGCGAAGGGCCTTCCTCACTATGACCAAAGTTTATCTGAATCACAACTCGATTTAGTACTTCAAAGACTGCACCCTGGAATCTACCTGAAATCAGTTATCTAACCTAACTCTTCGTAATGATAAGAAAAGAAAAATCTAATCATAGCTAGTCACACCCTTAATTAACCTGGCTTGAATACGATAACCCTTAATTATCCCAGCTTGAGGATGACATCAAACTTACAAGTTTGAAACACAAAATAAATCCAAAACAATTCAAAGCACAACTAGAAAAATCTTACAGCCATTTTTAACAAATCGTTCTTCAAATCGATGACAATAAAAATTTGCGAAGAAGAGATGTTGAAGTCAAATGCAAAAGGGCACTTCTCCTCACTGAAACTAATCTTTCAATGATGAGTGTGACGAGAAGAATTTGAATGAGGCTCCGGGGGTTGAATATTAAAACCAAACTCTCTCACAAGCCCTAGAATAAGATCTCTCTTTTTATGCAATTTCCTCTCTCTCTCTTCTTATTGTTCTTTTGTTCTCTTCCTTAATTCCCTTTTAAATAGACCTTGATACCCTAATCATAGTCTAAATAGGGGATTAAAAGAATCAACGAACGACTAAGATTAAATCTGAAAATATGCCACAACTCGTCTTAACCATTGATGGTGAAATGCGATCAATAGGCTTGTCCAAACGGGTCAGCCCGGGCCGGGCAAAACCGGGACCCGGACCCGAACCTGGTTGGCCCAGGCCGGGCCAGGCCAGGGCCCGAGCCTGAGCGCGTCGAGCACCGGGCTGGCCCAGTTTTTTATTTTTTTGTTAATTTTTTTATTTTTTTTATTTTTAAGAATACATAGCAAAAAATTAAACAAAATTTTGATAAAAACAATCATATTATTAATCACTTGTAATCATATAACTTACAAATACAAAAAATCATAGAAATTAAAATGATAAAAATAACTTCTTTATTAATAATTAGTTAATCATCTATAATTATAAATTTATTTTAGAATTCGTCGCATCACAATAGATGAATACATCCCAACTAGGTTGGCAGCTACTCATCTATATTACTATCATTTGTAACTTTTTCCAAAATAATTTATCACAAATTTTCAGCTAAGAAATAAAAATTACAAACTGATAGATAATCTCTACTCTTTATCTCTATCTGCTAGTCTCAACTCTTTAAATTTATCTTCAATACTAGCCATCCGATCAATGCATTGCGTTCTCTTCTCGTACCTCCACCAATCTTATAGGCACATTACCGCCTGTATGGTATACGGATCTAACAATGTCATGTGGTCGTTGATCAAACGTATTGTTGTGCTGAAGGCGGATTCCGAATCTACCATGAAAACTTACACCGCTAGTAAGCCACGAGCCATAATGGAAAATATAGGATATGAAACTGTTCCATATACTTTTCACCATTGCAAAATATAGAAACTATTATTTTGACATTTAACTAAAGATGTAGTTAAATATTGATCAATTTTAGAAACTTCTATTAATGATCCGAGTCCAGATCTACCAGTTAGCTCAGCTACCATTAATTTCCTATCAAAACTCACACATTTGCCCCGACTTAAACTCATAGAAGCAGAAGTTGAAGACTGATGTGTACTTACACCATATCTAGTTGCATGCATACTCATCATATAATTTTTGAAAATAAATTCTAATAGTATTATGATGAGTAAGAGCAATAATAGTTTGACCATCATTAATATCTATTATCATGTTACCATGCAATAAATTTAACAAACTTCAAAGACCAATATCCTTCAAGCATGGATCAATAAGAACCCCAAAACCAAAAATAATAGGAATAAGCCTAAAATACTTATTAAATTTACTTTCTATTTAAAAAATTATATTTCCAAAATAATTATCCATATGATAATTATTAAAAAAATTAATATTTAAAACTTGTAAATCAGCTTGAATAATAGTTGGATAATAACAACCAAATAATAACATAGTAGCATCATAAAAAACTTATAACATCTCTTTTACACTATATAAAACTATTCATTCATCCTTAGTTATTCTATACATACTATCAGAACTAGAACTAGAAGTATAGAAAACAATAAAATTATTTATAATTTCTTTATACTCTATTACTACATTTAACACTGCATAGGTAGAATTCCACCTATATTCAACATCTTTTGGAATTAGTCTGGATTTAAAAAAATTTCTTTTACACAATTGTTTTCATCTTTTAAGTTTTTTTTTCAGAAGCATTATGAGCATAAGTTACTATCCTACCTTTTCTATCATAGATTTAATTTTACTAAATGCACTTTAAACAATTAAATTTAAAATATGACACATGCATCTAATATGAAAAATATCACAATGACATGGCAATAGCAAAGATGATTTAATATGATCAACACCTATATTATTATTATTTGTATTATCTAGTGAAAGAGAAAATATTATTTCTAAATTTCTAATTTTATAAGTTCTTCTATTATTAAATTTGCAATATTAATACAACTATGTGAATCTTCAAATGCAATAAAAGAAATAAATATTTTAAATATTTGTCAATTATCGTCAATCCATTGTGCAATGATACATAAATAACCAGCTTGTGCTCTAGATGTCTAAATATCAGAAGTTAAAGAAAAAATTTACAGTTTAAACTTTGAAAATAAAAAATTATTTTTGTTTGTTCCTCGTGATAATATTTTAAAATATCACGTTGAAAAGATTGACGAGAAATTTTTTTTAATGCGGGATAAAAACTATTTGTACACATATCTTCAAATTCATTATCTTCTACTAATTTAAAAGAAAGATTTTTAAGAATAATAAACCTGATGACGCATTTCCTGGCTCGGACTGCGTCATAGTTCCAACTATTGAGACTACCTAAAGATGAGGATTGCGAGAGTAAAGATTGTCAGATATCACCTTTAGGCCTTGCCTGACCTTTGTTATGTTTCTCTAAATAGCATTTGAGGTGGTTGGTGCCGCTCTTATGATAAGCTTGGAAAATATGGCCGCACAACGCACACTTAGCCTTCTAGGTGAGAAGCCTAGCGTATTGATCACTGGTGATTTCTATCTTCTCGAAAAAGTTCTACACATCGGATCTCAGCCTTTTATTAGCTCTTGGTGCAGAATCGTCGCCATCGGAGTCATGATCAACATCGGTAGGAGTAGGAGGAGGAGTTGTAGCTCCTATAGTAGGAGTATTAGGACTCATTTCAACATCGGGAGTTTGGATTTGCCCTTCATAATCAGAGGAAGAAGCCATTTGATTGAAGAATTAGAGAGCAAAAGCGAGTATTAGAGAGTATTAGAGAGAAGCATGTGAGTTTTGGATGAGAAAAACAAATGAAAACCCCCTCTATTTTGGCCAAAAATAGACTCAAATTTTGTCCGTTTTTGACTGTTTTTGGGGTATTTTGGTCAAATAACACAAACTAGCCATTATGGCCCCGTTCAGACCGGGCCGGCCACAAGGATCACGACGGTCTGACCCGCTGTCGACCGACCAACGGCGTCACGTAAAGTGACTGTTTGCGGCCGGGCGGACCCCAAGCCCGACACTCCGGCCCAGTCTCTACCTTTGGTCGCGCGCCAGGCCGCGGCCCTAGTGCCTGGCGCCGACGAAGCGACCCGGGCCCGGTCCCGAAACCCGGTTAGGTTTGGGTTTCCGGGCCAAGCTTGGGCCGGGCCCGGACCTTGGGCACAAATGGACAGCCCTAACGATCATCGATGGTGCGTTGATGATCATTGATGGTTGATTATAATCCATCGATTATACAAATTCTAATTTCTAGATTTCTACGATTGTTGATTGTAGTCCATCGATGTTCTCTGTGATCATCGATAGTGGAATGTAGACAATTGATGGTTCAAAATTTGGTTTATATATCTCCGATTCTTTCTTATAGTCCTTCGATGACATAACATGGCCATCGATGGTGCCTCGTGACCATCGATGGTTCAAAGGTTGAAATC